GCCGCCGCCCTTTAGGGAAAACCCTTCCAAAAAAAAAAAAAAAAAGAATGGCTTTTTTCTTTTTCTTTTTTTTGAGGGTTTCTTTTGCTATAGGGCGCATGCGCTCGCCAGACAGACAGAGAGAGATAGAGACAGAAAGTGAGAAATCACCCCCCAGGGGGGATAGTCACGCCGCAATCCCTTCTCCTCCAAGAATGACTTTTTTCAATTCCTACATGCTAGAAGATTGGGAGTTCGAACAGCAAGTTTACTTCTTCCATGACAGAGTGAGCAAGAGACAAGCATCCCTAACTGGGTCCGAACATCATGATCCAGCCAGTCAGGATCAGCTGCGCATTTATTCTCAGCATACCTAAGGGGGTTACATATTTGAACCTAGAACTTTCCCATGTGGAGCAGCCTCACAGAGCATCACTGTGTACTTTTCCAGCCCCAGGACAAAAGGATATTGAGTTTATCAAATGCTCTTTCTAAATCTGTTAAAATTGCTGTTATGTTTTCTTCCTCCATTCTGTTAACACAGTAAGCCAAATGGACTGATTTTCAAATGTCAACCTAACCTTGTAGCAAAAAAAAAAAAAAACCCCAACCTTTGGAAAAAAAAAAAAAAAAAAAAAACAAGATCCACACTTATTGTCCACTTGCTATAAGCTATCATAGATTTGATATACAAGGTTTCTTTAAGAAGTTGATGGAAAAAGTGTATTATAAAAACAGTTGGGACCAGCAGTTCGTGTAATGGCTATGTTGCTGAACTCCCATGTAGTTGACCACGGTTTGAGTCTAGGACCTGGTGGCATAAATTCACGCCAAGTGCATGTGTGTGCCCAAGATCCTGAAAGGAGAATGAAGGAGAAGGGACTGTGGTGTGGCCATCTCCCCAGGGGGTAATTTCTCACTTTGTGTCTCTCTGTCTTTCTGGTGAGTGCACGCACCCTATAGCAAAAACCTCTCCAAAAACAAACAAAATCACTGTGCACAGATTTCAAACTTTTTTTGCAGACCAAAACAAACTCATACTTTAAGTCCACATTTTTTCACAAAATTGTAAAATTTTGTGTGTGCGTACAAATACAAAAGTGTTTTTTTTTTGTATAATGGCTATGTCGCTGGACTCTCACGTTTGACCGCGGTTCGCGTCCCGGACCCGGTGGCTTAAAACTCACACTGGGCGTGTGTGCGTGCGTACCAAAGATCCTGAGAGGAGAATGGAGGAGAAGGGATTGTGGCGTGACTATCCCCCCTGGGGGGTGATTTCTTGCTTTCTGTCTGTCTCTCTGTCTGTCTGGTGAGCGCACACGCCCTATAGCGAAAACCTCTCCAAGAAAAAAAAAAATACAAAAGTGTACATATATGTGTGCACATGCATACAAACATATACATGCACATACCCAAAAATGCCCTTACGTTTAAGTAAAATAGTTATTGTTAAATGACCCTAATTTATCACATTACAATATGATTTATTTTTATTTTTTTAGAGGTTTTTGCCATAGGGCACATGCACTTGCCAGAGAGACAGACAGTGAGAGAATCAGTGAGAAGCCACACCCCCCACTCAGGGAGGGTGGCCCTGCTGCAATCCCTTCTCCTCCACTCTCCTCCCAAGATCTTGGGAATGCACGCACATGCACCTGGCGTAAGTATTAAGCCACTGGGTCTGGGACTCAAAACGCGTTTGACCATGGAGTCCAGCGGCATAACCATTACGCCATCAGCTGGCCCCTACAGTATGACTTTAATTCCACATAGTGATCCTCCCTCTAGCTGGCCAGGGTCATGTGTAATAGCACAGGCATGTGCACCCCGCATGTATAGGTCAACCCAAGAGCCAAATCCAAATTCTCCACATGACCTCCAGCACCACAGAACACTGCACCACCACTTCTCCACCATGTTTGGGTCTCAATAGAAATCTTTTTTTTTTTTTTTGGAGAGATTTTTGCTATAGGGCGCGTGCACTCGCCAGACAGACAGAGAGAGACAAAGAAACAGAAAGCGAGAAATCACCCCACAGGGGGGATGGCCATGCCGCAATCCCTTCTCCTCCATTCTCCTCTCAGGATCTTGGGCACGCACGCACACATGCCCAGCGTGAGTTTAAGCCACCAGGTCCGGGACTCGAACCGCGGTTTACTACGTAGGAGTCCAGCGACATAGCCATTATGCTAACTGCTGGTCCCCTCAATAGAAATCTTAACAATGAAATGTGTTCCAATTACAAAGAAAGAGAAAAGAAATAGGGGGGAAAATCTTACCATTCTTGCTGACATCCAGTTCCCTGAGATTGATAAGATTTGCAATAGATGCTGGTAATGTTGTTAAATCATTGTCTGGCAAACTCAGTTTGTGTAGAGACTGACAATTAAAAAGTTGCTATTTAAAAAAAAAAAAAGGATTTTGATTATAAGTTTCCTTAAAATATTTTATATACTAACTTTTATACAAATCAGTATTATAAGTCATATTAAAACTGAACAAGTTATACCTATACTAAATATCAGAAAAGATCTCTCATTGTTCTGGTTATGCTATTATGGATCTGAATACAACCAAATTATTTAGAATGATGCACATTCTTATACTTTACAAAACACACTCATAAGAATAATTACATGATTATATTGTTAAGGAAGTTAACAATATAAAATTGGTTATTAAATGTGGTAATTCCTGTAGCTTCCTTTTTAAGCACTTAACTTTAAAATGAAAGCACTACTTATGAACATGCTTCCAAAAAGGTAAAATTGATAAGTATAAATAAAATTATTCCTTCAGTTGCACTGTTACTGTAAGCCTCTCTTTTCAACCCACCCCAAGACTGAGACCATTCTGGTGGTGATTAAACAAGGAGACTAATTTGGAGAACAGAAAATTATAAAACATCCTATCACAACCTAGGTAGATAAGTCATAAACATGCAACTGACAATCTTTAATATTTTATCCTTAACCATACACAGATGCCCGTAAGATAACCTAGAACTAGTATTTAAATTGTTTTTATCACTGATTACACGAAAAAAAGCCTTTTGAGTACTGCCGTCCAGTACACAAAAATCTAAAACAAATATTTTGTAAAACAATGGCTATATGCAACACATTCTATTTTCTGTTCCATTATAGTTATGGTTGCCAGATTAAATATAGAATGCCCAGAGAAATTTGAATTTCAGGTGGACAAAAAATAATTTTTTTACTTCAGGTATATCCTATATACCACATAAGATGTACATAAACACGAGGGACCAGCAGTTGGCGTAATGGCTATGTTGCTGGACTCCCATGTAGTCAACTGTGGTTTGAGTCCTGGGCCCGGTGGCTTAAACTCACATTGGGCACATGTGCGTGTGTGTCCAAGATCCCGAGAGAATGGAGGATAAGGGACTGCGGTATGGTCATTACCCCCCCTCGGGGGGGGGGGGATTTTTCACTTTCTCTGTGTCTTTCTGGCAAGTGCATGTGCCCTATAGCAAAAACCCCTTTTATAATTAAAAAGAAAAAGAAAAAGAAAAAAAGATACACATAAACTAAAAAGTATTCCTTGTTTATCTAAAAATTCTTATTTAATTCAATGTTCTATATTTTTATTTTCTGATTTTCACAATCCAAATCACAGTTCATTTTTCAAAATGCTGGCCCAAAGTACTAAATCAGTTTTATGAGCCACCAATCCACCCAATGTTAAAAAACACTTGTTTGGGTGGCAAAAGAGTTTAACAATTAAATTAAAGCTATTGTATCTTTTCCATAAAGTACAGGAAAATGATTACAGAATAACAGGAAACAGGGATTTAAGAAGAAAAAGTACACTGGAAAACTGTGTTAAGAGACAAGGTGGCTGGGACCAGCAGGTGGTATGATGGTTAAGGGCGCTGGACTCCTACATGGCGGACCGCAGTTCGAGTCCTGGACCTAGTGGCTTACTTTCTCTCTCTCTCTCTCTCACTTGCTTACTCTGTCCTTCTCTGGTCAAATAAATAAATAAATAAGCAAATAAAGTTTAATAAAATAATTCTTTAAAAAACAAAAGAAAGGAACAAGGTGGCTAAAGTTTTCTGAGGACACAAGTAGAGAAGGGAAAAGAAAAACAAGGTGAGGGTGTTTGATAGCAATAAACTAACCTCCTTCCAACTGATAATAAATTTCAGAAATGTAAATTCTGCAAAACCTTTCCATACAAATTATAAATGGATAAAAATAGAATACTATCTCTATTTTTGGGTCTTAGGAAAAGTCATGACACATTTTTGCATACAAAAACATAGAAAGGGGCCAGCGGATGGCTTGGTGAATAATGTACCAGACTCCCACATGGTCGACCAGTTTGAGTACTGGACCTGGAAGCGCTCTCTCTGGTCAAATTTTAAAAAATAAATAAATAAAATTAAAAAAATGATTTTTTAAAAAAAAAAAAGGGGAGCAGAAAAATACATCATGACTTTTCCAACAACCCAATAGATGCCAGAAATACTAGACAACTGTTTCTGTTGTTGTTGTTGTGGAAACTAAGAGGACAATTATCCTCAATATAACAATGTGTATCAATGTCTTATGAAAACTAGAAAAAGATAGCATGAATTTCAATTCTTTATTTTTTTGGGGGGTGGGGGTTGCTATAGGGCGCATGCACTTGCCAGAAAGAGAGAGACAGAGAGACAGAAAGCAAGAAATCACCCCCCAGGGGGGATGGCCATGCCCCATTCCCTTCTCCTCCATTCTCCTCTGGGGATCTTGGGCACGCATGCACACGCACCCAGTGTGAGTTGAAGCCGCCAGGGCCGGGACTTGAACCGTGGTCGGCTATGTGGGAGTTCAGTGACATAGCCATTACGCTAACTGCTGGTCTCTGAATTTCAATTCTTTTTCTAGCTTAATCTATAGGCTCCAGAATTTGGGTAATAACATTATCTAAATTAGTGACTACAATACAACTGGAATTAAATGAAATATTTTAAGTTACCTGCACAAGTATTTAAGCAATTAACTTTAAGAGATAAAGGCTTATTCTACAACTGTTTTTTTAAAATTTGAATTGTGCTGTATACCCTAATCCAATTAAAAAACTGTAACACACACACATACACATATATAAACATTGTGGCAATATTAGAAATATTTCTATGCACAAAAATAACCAAAGATAATTCTTGAAAAGCAGTATTAACATACCTTTGGAAGCTCTTCAATCTGATTAGCATCTAAATAGAGCTCTTCCAAAGTTTTTTCAAAAGTAAAAATCTCTTTGGGAACCTGTTCCAAGCTACAATGAGAATAATCAAGAGTAGTGACAGTCTCCTCTTCCCCTCGTAGACAGCGACAAGGTACCAACCGCACAAACAAACTTCGTTTTGTAGTCATTTTTAGACACTGTAATGTTCAAATAAAGATAAATTTAATTAAAATATACATGTTATAACATTCAGAAGAAATTAATTCCAATTCACATGTCACAGGTAAACACTTCCTTTCCACTACATATAACTCCATGGCATCCATTTAACAGTGCTTTAAAATACCAACATTTTGGGCTGGCAGGTGGAGGTGGTTAAGGCACTGGACTTCCACATGGCTGACCACAGTCTAAGTCCCAGACCTGGTGGCTTGCTTTCTCACTTTCTCTTTCTCTCTCTCTGGTCAAATTAATTAATTAATTAATTAATTAATTAATTAATTTTAAAATACCAACATTTATAGCTACTGGATATCAAATTAAACTCAAGCACTTTATAAAACGATCCAAAAGATAATTATTCATATGCTTCTATAGACTTTGTTTTTGAGAGAATTTTGCTATAGGGTGCATGTGCTTGCCAGAAAGACTGAGAGAGACAGAGAGACAGAAAGCGAGAAATTATCCCCCGGGGGGATGGCCACGCTGCAATCCCTTCTCCATTTTCCTCTTCGGATCTTGGGTACGCACGTATACGTACCGGTGTGAGTTTAAGCCACCAGGTCTGGAAACCGCAGTTGACTACATGGAAGTCCAGCAGCATAGCCATTATGTCAACTGCTGGTCCCATCTACAGACTTATTTTATGAGTTTGGTCCTTAGTTCTGAAAAAGAAAAGCTCTAAGGGCTGGCAGGTGGAGCAGTGGGTAAGGGCGCTGGACTCCCAAGCAGCTGACAGCGATTCAAGTCCCAGACCCGGCAGCTTGCTTTCTCACTTTCTCTCTCTCTCACTGTGTCCCTCTCTGGTCAAATTAAAATAAAGAAATAAAGTTAAATATAATAATTATTTTAATAAAAGAAAACCTAAGCTCTAATATTTATTTGCTTTAACTTCTGGCTCAAAGAGTTCTGTGCTTCATAATTAAGAAGTTGATTATGGGGAATAACAGATGGCATGATGATTAGTTTGCTGGAATCCCACATGGCCAACCATGGTTTGAGTCCCAGAACTGGCAGCTTGAAACTCAATGCTGGGTGTGTGTGCGCCCAAAATACCAGGAGGATAATAGAGGAAAAGCGATTGCAGTGTGGCCATTTCCTGGGATGTGGGGGAGTGATTTCTCACTTTCCCTCTTACTGTCTCTATCTCTCTCTAGCAAGTACATGTGCCCTAAGGCAAAAACCTCTAAAAAATTTTTTTAATAAAATAAAATCTTAACCTAGGGGACAGCAAGTGGCATAGTGGTTAAGGCACTCAACTCCCATGCAGTGGTTGGATGCAGTTTGAGTCCCACACCTGGTGGCTTGAAACCTACACTGGGTGAGTATGTGTGCATGCCCAAAATCACAGAAGGAGAGTGGAAAAGAGAGGATTCTAGGATGGCACACCACATGGTCGACTGCGGTTTGAGTCTCAGACCCAGTGGCTTGAAACTCACACTGGGCACATGTATGAGCATGCCCAAAATCCCAGAAGGAAAAGAGAAGATTATGGTGTGGCTTGAGGAGTGACTTCTTAACTTCTGTCTCTCTGCTTCTCCAGCAAACATATACACCACCCTATAGCAACAATCACTCTTAAAACAAACAAACAAACAAACAAAAAACAGTAATCAAGGGGCCAGCCGGTAGGTGGCATAGCGGTTATGGTGCTGGACTTTCACAAGGCCAACAGCAGCTGGAATCCCAGATCTGGCAGCTTAAAAATCATGCCGATGCATGTGTGTGCATACACAAAATCTCAGGAGAATGGAGAATGGGTTGAAGTATGGTTACCACCCCAGGGGTTGATTTCTCACTTTCCCTTTCT